CAAGTCCCCCCCCCGGGGGGGGGGGCAAATTGGAAAATTTATTCAGGGGGTGGGAGGGGTAGTTGAAAATTGTTATTAATGCACCAAGGGCGTTATAAGGGTTCTAACGATCGAGCGGCAACCAAAAGCCCGAGGACCTCTGGCCCAAAGGCTTTTATTGCGCGAGATAATTAGAACTAGTTAACGCCCGAAGTACATAAAATTAGGTAAAAAATAAAATTGTATCAATTCAGATACATTTATCTATTAATTAACTGTTAACTTGACAGTCTTTTCATATTTCCCTCCGTGAGATCATTCAACGGTTCTATGTTTCTCTAATAAACACGACCCTCTCGATCCGGGAAAGTAATGCATTGCATACCGTGCTCCGTATGGAAGGCAACGAGCTATCAACGTACCAGTAAGAAATTAATATCAAAAGAATGTGACCAATCAGAGGTGGCATAGTACAGTATAAAAAGGATGGTTTTGCCAATTTATGTGATGAATAATAGACACACATGTCTTTGTAGCCCAACGCAAGTGTGTCAAACTTTTTTAATTAATTTTACCAAACCGTCGTTTTCTTTTCCCATTTCATTGGTTTGGTTTTCTACGAAGTGTGGTCATTACAAATGAGTTACATGGGTATGGATCAATCGTGTCCCAGGCAAAATCAAGTTAATATTTTTCCAAAATGTGACAATCAACACACCGAGGGAGGGGGGAGGGCGCGGATACCTCCCGGCCACTTGCGCCCTGTATGCGCCCCACGAGAAACTTCCCAGTCAACCTTTAACAGTGCTTTGGCTGTACGTTGAAGCAATCTTCTCTATTCGACTTTTGACAAGCACGTGGAGCGTATTGCAAAACAAAGAGACAGGGTTTAAAGACTAAATTTGTGAATTGACTGTATTGACTAGAATCACAGTATTTGCAGTGTTCAGAGAATAAATATCAAAACCTTTGTCAAAAACCTATAATCACAAAAGGCAAATTCTTCATGAAAGTTCACGTCACAATAATTGACTAAACCCGATATTTGTAATTTCATTAATCAAACACTTTAAAATTGAATAAACGGGTAATGTTCAATTTGGTAAAGCCACGTATTTTGAAATATGTAATAAAAATATAAAACTAAAAATACGATTGATGACCACTAGTGCAAAACCTTTGGCACCCACCCAAGCAACAGCGATTCTCATCACACTTAATTATCTCGTTTAAACAGATTGGATTTCGCGGTGAATAGAGGTTTTCCACGTATACACAAGGTCGACGTTTACCTGGAACTTTATTTCAAACGTGCAACACTCGCTTGTTCCACGAACTTTATATAATCCTCACCCTTAACGTCCACCACGCAAGTCACGTGAACATCATGACCAGTCAACTTCGTGAAGGGCTCAATGAGGCAAGCTGATGTACAGTTCACGCTGCATTGTAAGCGTAGTACCTTGAGAACAGGTCACGATTCAACACAAGTGCCTTTCAAAAGTTTTCTTTCGGTGTCAGAAAGATTTAAACTATAAACGTGTTATAATCCTAGAACGCAAATTGATAAGTTTAAATTACTATACAGTATTTATAACGTGAAAATTTACTGAAGCTCCAGCAACTAAAAAGCAAATAGTATAATAACAAACAAGCGCAAACGAAGGCTCGCTGGCAAAGAATGCTTACCTCTACAAAACGTATACGTCGCAATTCTTATTAAATTACAATTATCTTGATACCAGAAATGATAAATATTCAAAATCGTACGGCCAAGGCTATGAATGCTTTAACAAGTAAGTCACCTCCAATTCCGACAACGTCGAGGCGGCAGTATGCAGCGCACACGCGCCCATCCATTAGCTTGCGCTCCGTAGGGGCGTGGCCTCGATCCATTTAGAGCTCTACCCATTTTCGCGCGAGGCATCTTCCCGACACGCGCGTTGGAATAAAAAGCAGTCGCGACGCGGGCTTCGGCGAAAGGGCCGCGCGCGGTACGACGGACGGACGAACGCCCGCCCGGGCGACGGTCTGCGAAGGCCGCGCCGAGTCGCCCGTTCACGGCCGGGGAAATTGGAACATTAATCACACACGAGAGCCGAATCTGTTTCAGTGCCAAGCGCCGCCGAGCGGTAAAAAAACGGGCCACTCCGCTTCTGGGTATGGGAGTGAGTGGACGCTCCGCGAGGTCCGTCCGCCGCTCCGTCTGACAGCAAATAGGGCGGCGCGAGACTTGCGATGAAACTATCAACGGCAAACAAAATTAAATAATTATACATACCACGAAGATCGACTTCTTACACTGGACCCGGATACGCATATGTCTGGTAGCGAACTTGGCAACGCAAGGTTAAAATGGAAAGAATTAATGTTATATTAAGAAAGCAAAGTTTGTCTAATGATTGTTACTTTTTCGAATTTCCTGCATTTTGATCAGTTCCAAATCTCACATTAAGCACGAATTATTAGGTGGAAAAGTGCTGCAATATTAAATTGAAAGCAATGCAATAACTACTCTATAGAAGAATGTTGAGTAGTATAAACCGATTGGTGTTTATTTTCTTATTCTCTTCACGCACGCAACTTAAGCTCTCGCTAATTTTCATGCTTAACCGTCCGTGTAATCCCACTGTGTGAGAGACTAAATAAGGGATCGAGGAATTAAACGTATTGCAAAATAGAGTTATCACAGGTGACTATGGTGTAAATGTGATATCTACAACCACCACCACGTATCACAGCCAAACCATTATATCCCATCAATACTAATTTATCCATCAGCATTCACCCCTAATGATACCTCATGTCTGTCCACGATATAACATGGTACTAAGAGTTAAGACTCCATGACTTACATTCGGGAGCCAAGTAAGGCTAACGCAAAGTGGCCTCCCCACTCCCCAAAAAGTTTCGTTCTCTCAATGTCTACTTTCTTTTGTTAATATTTGTAACTACGACAATTACTTTACTAAAACGATTCACGCTGCATTCTTTTGGACCATTCCACCAACCGTCTCTTTGCGCGGTCAGGAGAAAGAAATGGGGGTCGGGGGGGGGGGCGGATGAAGAGGAACGCGTGTGAGTATCGCGGCTTGTGACCCGTCCTCCCACGCACGGCGGGGGGAGGGGGTCCAGGTACAGCTGGCTGCAGGCCAACGCACTTACCGACGGCGGGCTGGCGGGCGGCGCGAAGCGATTACGAAACCCAAGTGCAGTTGCTCGCCCCCGAGGGGGAGCAACGTCCGTTGCACCTTCGGCAAAGGCCGGCAAATGCAACACACTCACGCGAAACGACAGATGTGCATCTGAGAGGCCTCGTTAGGCTACCTTCGAGACAATACGAGAGAAGCAACATCAGTCTATTATTATAAGTTATTTCGAAAATAAAATATAAAATGGGGGCACACCGATCTCGAGGTGGAGGGCTGAGCTAAAAAAGAACGTTAGGTGGGAAAATTCAAAAAAGTAGAAACATGACTGATGTTTGGGTTCAAATTTTGAAGATTTCAATATTTTAATTGCCATTACCAATGGTTCAAAATAATTACTCGTACGTAATAATTTTTTCTATTTAGCATTTAATTTGGAGAAAAACTTGATGTTTCCAGTAAGCTTTCTTACGGTTGTAAACACATTGCGTTGCCTATTGAATTCAGAACGAAAATGAACGATAGCTTTGAGAAACAAAAAGTTGTCACAACGAAAAGTGTATCTAAGGCAACGGTCGTTTCGTGAAATAATTGATCATCCGCTCTGCATCACGCTGCAATGAGTCACCACAAGAAAAAAGTGTACCTTTTTAAAGGAGACTACCGCAGCCCGATATTAAACGCCATCAGTACATGGATCGTTTAGCTGTAGCGCAAAATGACTTCCCGCTTTGTGACCTACCTCAAGTGTAAAAATCGACTAAATAGACATCGGCTTTAGCCCTTCCGCGTCAGAAGGAGCTAACTCATGTGAACAACGCTTTCTCTTGGCCTTTTCTTTAGACTCCTGTTCCGAAAAGCGTGAAGAATAAATTCATGTATGTTGTTAAATATTATAACGTTCCATATATGCGTTTAAGAAACATTTTGTGTTTGTTTTACTTCTAATGTGTCTGGTACGCAACACTCGCCACATACAAAATCATAACCACTTTGTAGTCAGCGAAATGGACTATTTCAAAGCAACAGCGTTTCATAATACTTTCCAGTTCGTTGGAATCCTAAAAATAGAAACCTGAACAAATCGCTTGGCCACAGAATATTACGCAAACCAAAAGAACAGATTTGTCAGTTCAGATAACTCGACCTACTCTCTTCAAGCACAAAGTATTTACGTCATATCAAGGTCAAGTAACAGTATATTTATTTAATAGATCAAACTAATAACATAACTTTAATGAACTACGGACGGTTGCATCATCAACAATATAGAGAAACAATCAGTCATAAAATCCGTCACCTTCAGAGAGCCTCATAAATCCACTCGCTTCTATAAGCAATGATTGCTTGAGTGGCGAGCGCGATCGCCTTATTGCCTCAATTGTCAGCGCTATTGCGGCCCCTCTCCTGGATGCGATCATTGCCGACAATGGTAGTTGCGATGGCACTGCGAGCACTTTTAGTCTTCCGAAGTTGTCTTTCAGTCTGCTCACATAAACAGACCTCCAGCATTTCTAAGGCAATGAAAAATAGATATTTATACCAACTTTAAAAACAATCTTATAATTATGAATGTTGACATGTCTACGTATTCACGCTGTACAAAATGCTTTTCTGTTTCGTGCGACACCCAAGAAAATAAAATGTTGATTAGCAATTGAAAATTGTAGCTATCTGCATACAAATGCATACACATGTTCACCGTTACACCGAAATATTAGAGCTTTTCCTTTGTAGATTAAAGAGTCTCTAACCGCCCTAGGTTATATCAGAAATATATTTTGTAATGATCCATATTGCACACGTCTTTAAAACATTCTGGGAACCAGCATAATACTGAGGTTCATTGATTTATGTTACTGTTTCTGGACGTTAAATAAAATAGTCTGAAACCCAGAGATTCTATACTAATATGGCAATTTAAGTTTTTTTTTTATGTGGCAGCTGTACAAACTTTAAAAACGCCTAAGTTTCGAGACGCAATGGAAGCGACAAAATGAGTCTCCCTGCAGCGAGCGACACGTAGCGGTGGCGACCCACAGGATGTGCGGTCTGTGAGGCCGCCTCCTTGCCGGTTCCTAGACGCGCGGCGAGTCAGCCGACTGGCGCTGCGGCGGCGGCGGCGGCGGCGGCGGCGGCGACAACGACGTTTATGGGGGGCGGCGCGCCGAGGGGTACGTGATGCTATCCGCGTGGCGTCGGGACACGACCAGCAGGCGCCCGGAAGCGCTGGTGGCTTTGGGAGTAGTGGCGCCCCGCCGGAGAAACTCCGCGGCGCGGCGACGGTGACTCACCGCACCGGTGCGGGACCGCGGCGGCGGCGGCGGCGGGCGCCAGTCAGGGCGGTCGCCGACCTACGGCCGAGCGGGTGGGAACGCTCGCTCGCTCGCTCTCTCTCTTAGTATTTATTCACGCCCCCACAGTGGGCGTGGCATAAACCACCGGACGCTAACTACGTAATATTAACCCTGTTCCCATGCTCTCTAAACCAGGGTGATTGACAGGCAAACCGACGAGATATAGGTGGACCACCTCGTCGATAGCAATGCAATGCAATGCAATGCAATGCAATGCAATGCAATGAAGTGCACTACAGTGGATGTAATTTAAAAAAAAATTAAGAAAGTATCAAAAATGTATGTTTCTTCATGAAACAAACGGCCTCGAGCCTCGTCGGGACGTTTAATGTTATAGAAAAGTTGTTTTAAGAAGGGACCACTGACAGGTGGCGAAACGAATGGACGCAATGAAGGGCGATGACATTGCACGAGATACTAGTGATAAAGCCATTACAAATGAGCTAACTGGGAACGAATGCACTGCCAAAATGAGTGCATGGATATAAACTGCAGTTATGTTGCCAACAACGGTTACTGCCAAAGCGGTCTCTTCTTATAGTAATCTCTCAATATTTTTGAATCCTCATTCCCATAACAGTATTGCTGACTCTTCAACGACAATATTCAGTAACGTACTGCCTAATAAATTGGGCACATGCGCAATGTATTAATGTGAAGTTACAGAAGAGCTGAGAAATAATGTTAATGCAGTTCTTTGCTTCGAAAGGTTCCAATGAATTTGTATGTAATCATAATTTTCATACTCAAAATACTTTGTCTATTCCTAAACTAATCATTTAATTCGTCGTATCAATACAAACAAAAACTCTTGAAATTGTTACCTAACTTACTATGTCTGTTACACTTTTACAATGAGAAAGGCTTTAAAAATGCCCTATTCCGAAAATATTTCTTCGTGGACACCCAATACTAGTAGCAAACCCAAGCATCGACAGTAATTGAAATAACACCGACTTACAGGCATATTTGCGTTAATAAAACAATAACTAAGTTCATTATTTAACACTCCTAAAACCCATTAACTGAAGTATCTATTCACCATGCAGCAAGTAACACACACGGAAACATCGAATCGCAATGAATACGTTTCTTTATCGACACCGCATAACAACTTTCCTGAAGCCTAATCGCCCTCTTCACATACCCCACCTACCCGTCTTCACGTTGAAAGAAACGCTCACTCCCACCTTCGAACGATTCGAATTATCTGCCAAGATTGCGAACGAAGTGTAGCAATAAAGGCGAATAAGCACAACATCGCACAAACAAAGCCACCCAGTCGCAGAGTCAACGCATCGTGAAGTATTTACGAGCGCCGCGCGCCGCGCGTCGGGCTGCGGGCCGAGGAGGTTATGAACGTGCATTCAAGTCCATCAACAACGCGTACGGACGAAGGCGAGAAGAAAAAAAAGGGTGCAATGACCGGCAATCGTGAAGCATGCAACGCAACCGGCGTTCCCTCGGGGGAGGTCCAAGTCCACTTTACCGAGCAGAAACTAGCGGAAACGATGGCGAGGTGCATGCGAGTCCGCTCTAGGATCGAATCGTTCCATGAGCGACTACCACTCCCACACCCCCATGCGACCCAGAAAGGATTTACGCGAAATCGCACGCTAAGTTATAGGGTTCACAAGAATGACGGTGTAAAGTTCAACTAATCTTGAATATAACTTTAAGGTATCGACATAATTGCATTACACTCCAAAGAACTACCACCCACTGTTTATAAGTAACCCACTCGGGTTATCTACTAGAGTGGAGTACAAAAATGAGCCGACAGGCATCACTGACGCTGCGAATAAATATTTTGATGCCTAGTGTTGATTTCTTGTACTATCGAGGTACGAATCGAGACTCCGATTATATTTTGGAATCCGAAGACAGTTGCAGCTCTCTTAACACAGAGTATGTGAGCGAGAACAAAAAGCAATTTATTCGTCAAGTCCAAGGAGCCGTTGGCGGAAAAGAAGACACGACAACGGGCGGACACATGGGCTCTGCAATTATAATTTTTAGATGTTTCAATAAAATTAATAATTCAAAAGTAGCTTAAAGAAAGACCTGGCAAAGTAACAATAAAAATGTTGCGATTTTTGAAAAGAAAATGGCGTTTGTCCCTTCTGTAGAAATTAATTAATAAACATACTTAATGTCTCATGAATTTATGATAAAATTTACATTATTAAGGCCTAAAAATGGCTATTTCACTGATGGAGTCTCAAAATGCCTAAAAATACTGTTCAGTATAATGGAAACCGCGAAGTAAACTCGAACGCACTCCTGGACAGAAATTTCCACTGAAGCTGAAATCTGTATGAAATAAAAATCCTACATAACTTTGGGAAGAGGAAGTGGCAATGAGAAGTACTGTCTATTTTTGCAATATTAAAACCAGTCACAAGGGTTAAATAAAAAGAGGAATTTAAACAGATAAAAAGATTACTAAAATAACTAATGTTTTATCATTTTTCTCCATTTCTTTCAATATTTCTTACGGACGTTTTCAATAAAAACCGAAGTTGAAGAAACATTATGTGAAATAGTTATTTTCATTCATGTTACCATAAAATATTTTATGACGTTCACCTTTTAAGGGTCTACCATTAACTTAAAATACCAATACCAATCATTACAACCGGTATTTATCCCACAATCAGCAATTCTATCCGAATCTTCGTTGTCTGAAGAATGACATAACGAGTTTCAGCTTCCGACAATCTGATTATGGCCTTCAGATGCAAGTGTTCGTGCAGCAATTAAAACTGTCTAATCGCAGGGTAATAAATACAACAAAAAACGGATTCCTGTTACGCATGAGCCTCAAAATAACAGCGAATCCAATTTAGAACGCGCGCATAACGAGACAAGTTCGATATAAATAACTGGCGAGACAGTTACGCAACGCATACATAATGAGCTATCTGAAAACCCGAAAGAGTCTTCAAACTGAATGTTATTTTCTTAAACCTGTCTGTACAATGTCATCCAGTAGGTTAAAATTGGCTTCGCTTAAAAAATAAAAATGCTAAATAAAATACCATTAGAAAAGGAATCGCTGAATCCTGAATATTTATTGACTCATACCTTCTGTCAAAGTTTGATAATTTCTTGTTGTTCTCAGCAGAACTTTCATAAAAATATCAGCAATAAAATGCATTATGTCTTGTCGACAGTTTACTGATGAAGAGCTATAAATTTAACATTTACTTCCGAATACTTGCGTACAGCAGCTTCGGAATTACACAACATCACAATCACAAACATCAAGCTTCAAAAATAAATTCTCTCTTTTCATTCCCAGAATAAACAGTGACTAATTTCAGACATAAACGTAGTATTATGGAACTGAGACATGCGGTCTCGAATTTCCCGCCCATAGCTTTCTCATACAGATCTCGCTGGATCAAAACCAATATCCCCATTTCACGGAATATTTCACAGACCGCAAATCTATTCGAAGTGTAGAATGCAGAGCTCAGCAAAAATCATAAGGTATACTACATAGAAGTAAGAAAATGAAAAGAAATGAAATACAATAGAGAAAATAAGAGAGACAAAAGGAAAAAAAATAAGATAATTTAATTATTTTCCGCGACCGAAAACAATTTCAAGTATGAGAGCGCCCAACAAACGCGAGAGCTAACTACATCTGATCGGCGCAGAGAATCCAGGACGATCGGTCAAGGTGGGGAAGGCGTCGCGATGCCGTGCAGCGCGGCGCGGCGCCAGAAACCGGCAAAGCGAAAGCAGGCGGCGTCGGCGTCGACAGCGGCTCATTGCCGTAATGAGGCTAATTGGCGGTGGGACACGCGCAACAAGAGAGGCGGGCGGGGGGAACGCGATAGGCGGCGGCGGCGGCGCCAGGGCGGCGAGCGGGACGACTTGGGAGGACGGGCATACGAAGTCCTTGACCTTGGCACGGTGACCGTCGTCTTCACCTGCGGATGAAGAGCTGCCAGCCGTCAGCCCCGCCACTGCCTCTGCCTCTGTCGCGGACTTCCTCAGGAGCTAATTGGGGCAGCGACGCAGCGCTAACGACATACTGCTAAGTTATTGATGTCGTTTCCTACGCTGACACAAGACGAAACCGGAAATCTACAGCTACTTTCTTGGTTCTACTCACATTACTATGTCACCGCAGCGGAAAAATTACAGCCCTCTGTACATTCTATGTGGGAGACCTGCAGTCACATCCCTCCGCCTCACCAATCGAGTGGTATGATGACTCTAAAAAAGGTATTGAGTGAGTCGTTACTCTTGGAGAGCCCGGTGTAGCAAAATTAACTTTGTCTAGAACCTTTCAAAATGGGACAAATCGTCTCAAACAAATGGATACTACCGTGGGGAAAAAAATCAAGGTTTCGTAATGAACATTTAATCCTCTGTGCAGTCCTAAAACTCCTGAAGGTTCGTGACGTGAAACAGAAGTCGCTCCTAGTGTACACTAACGAAGAACACCAACACAAGATCTTCTCGGATGGTCAACAAAAAGGCTGAGAACTCCACAGCATCAAGCAACGAGATTCCTATTTAATTCTTTGGGTCAGTGTAGTGAGGTCATTGTTTTGAATTCATATACCTTTGTTTGAAGTTCATTTTGAGAAAAGGAAAGTGTGATTGTTTAGAAAATGTGGACGCCTGCGTTTTCAATGTTTTGAATTAATCGTGAAGTATTGATTCTTATTCTTCCACGTAAAAATTGGAACTGGTTTAATTTCAATGAGAATAAATACTCGTACTGCTCGTATAATACTCGAAATAATAGAGTACACGTACTTTTTGTGACACGATTAAGAATACAAATATTTTAGAAGTATCATTCAGAGTATATAATAATTAAACAAAGGAAACTTTTAGAAAAAAATGATTACAAAAATAATATTTGGCAACGCGTGTGCAAAACACTTTCATGATATGAAGTTATTAAATTCGACAAGTTTTATTTCTTCTATTCTGCGATCTGTGTGTACTGTGAGTTCTGACTATGCGACATTTAGTTTGAATGACAGTGGAGGACGCAAATACTTGGCTTCAGTTAATTTCTGTGATGTAACTATATTTAATTTCTAAAATTTACATCTATACCTACCAATATGTACAAATAGAAGAATCGGAGATACAAGTCCCCCGGAAGACACATCCAGTCTGTTATGGGACAAAAAGATTGGCAAAATAAATTTGTACTGCAAATTAGAAATAAAAAATCTGACAGTCTGCTATAAAATAATCTGTATTTCAACTCAATAACGACAACAATACAACAATTATATTCAACCACAAGTTTGGAATTAATCTCCATAAAAATTGTAGATCTGGTTCCATTCCATTCGCTGTATTTTGGTATGAGCGGGTATTTAAACGCAGATGCAATCCTCCTCTTTGGAAAAACTGTTTGCCTCCGTTAGGTCCTCCACAAAAGGAATTCAACCTCGGCCAATCTAAAAAGAGCAACATTAAATTAAATGTAGGCTTTAAAAATTGAGAGCAAAAATGGACATTCTGGCGTTCCTCACTTCCTGCTAAGATATAGCAAAAGAAGGAACGCCTACATACTTTTATGGTACGATCACAACCGCTCAGTTATTCCTCGTCACAATGCTCGACTCGTAGTGAAGATGTGTTGCATTAAACCATAATAAGATACCTTTTAATCAACTGGCAAACCTTCAATCGGCGGGCAAGGACCGTAGCACACTGACTATACAGGGCATACAAAGTCATGTTCGGAATGAAGAATAAAAATTCGTTAACGACTTGGGAATTGTAATCAGTAAAATAAACTAGCATCGTTTATAGACCTTGAACATTATCGAGCCCTCGCCCGAGAGCATCCAATGTTTCCAACAAACTCAATTTCGAATTCACAGTACCCCCCATGGCATTCATTTTACGACCTACAAAATGCATCTATGCTGAGAAAACGCATCTCTGCCTGGCTGTTCACGTTGCAAGGGTTTGGCTTGAAATAAAATAAGTAATTTGTTAATCGTTGTTCACAGGTGGTTTTACAGAAGATAATGGATTTATATTTAAGAACATTACATGACATTCCTATTGAACGTTTGAACTCTTGTCATACGCATTTGTTGCGTGAATAATAATATACGTAAATCCGACTACTTAGACCGTCGGTTCGGCTGAATCTTCTCAACGATAGAGCATTTGCATCTGATTCATGGTCAAATCTTCCAGCAGCGCCACGACAACCAGGCCGGCCGCCGTCCCAAAACGGGGCTAGAGCCTGCGTTCAGCTTCTCTGCGACGACGCGACCGCAGAGATTCTGGAGGGGGCGTGACAAGGCAGCGCGCTTTCGCGAGAAACTCTGCTCCGCGGTTGCTAATCAGCGCTCCGGAAATAACATCGCGGCGCCTCCTCCGTCGCGGCGGCGTTGTCGCAGCCGGCGCGGATACCGAGATGACGCCGAGCCGGGAGGCATCACGGGTGAATCCCACGACTCGAGCGGGCCCTGACACACTGGAGGAGTTACGGCGAAGTATGAGTCGCATACAATATTTTTCTACAACCTAGTCGGTGCATAAGAACACTGACACATCACAAGAATTATCATTCTGAGAAAAAAAAGAAGAAGGGTTTTATTCTGACAATGAGCGGGACCGAATATTTTACGCCCAAGACGAACAGACTTTCATATCTACTGGCTGTCTTGTGATTAACTTTGGTAACATTTTTACTAGTAAAAATACACTATTTTAGAAATAGATTTGTTCTCTTCACTAAAAAAAGACTATTAGAATTTGGTAGGGGCAAGAATATGGTCAAACAAATGCTACGCTGAGCAGAATGGAAACTCGGGAAATGGTTGCACTCGGAGGTAGGCGACAGTAAGCAAGAGAAAGCGGCTGCAGTGGAGATTATCGATATCTGAACGCTGAAGGTGATCGAAGCTAGCACTCGCTAGGCAATCTATGACTTAGGAGTCACAAGGTTGTCCATAATTTTCGTTTCACATATAGAAGAGGAATGATTGATTTGTCAACATCAATGCACCATTAAAAGTGGATTTCGTCGAAGTCCCCTTTTCTTGCTTTTTGCTTCAAAGAGTGATCAAAGAGAACTCGCCCTCCCCCTTCCACTTCAGGAAGAGAAGCAACTGTCGAATTGGATCTCAAAAATGTATTTAATAATGCAATGTCTCTAATGCTTGGTTCCGGTAGGTAAATTCCAAAAGCAACGCATTAGCCGTGACCTGAATAGTCGCCAATCTCGCATTGACGTGAGTCAACTAATGAACCAGATGACTGTACAGGGGATAGGCTAATCGCTAATGCATCTTGCATAAATACAGTCTCAGTGGAATGACGTCTACAGCTTCGGCATTAAGTCTGACTCATAATTTGGATGATCGCTTGAGAGAGTTCACAAGTGTGACTCTCAAACCGGTTCACTCTGACCAATAGTTTTAAAGTCTGTAAGTTCAGTCAGAAAATCAGTCTGGTATTCCGTAGCGATATACATAATTATACAGCGACTCTGTGCAGACGTTCATAGCTCTGTCATCTCAAGCCATCCGAAGAACAGTGTGGCTACACTGAAAACGGCGAAGGCGAAATGCAAATCTAAAGGCGAAAGAGATGGCGCTGGAAGCAGTGAGTCGGCTAATGGACCTGACTAAGTAGTATTCATTCGAATAACGTGTCAAGCAGGAACGGAATGTGACTCGCAGGACGAGTGTTGGTTCACCGCAAGTGATTCAACTAATGAGAGCGCGTGGAACCTTAAAATGCATTCCAGTATTTGCGATAACTCTCAACTTCCAAGTCCATTCGAAGACAACTTTTGGGATTAAATCAAAGAATTTGAAGAATCGTATATTTTGGGGTAACTTTTTCACGATACATTTTTCATCATTTGCTGATTCAAGGTGAAAAAGTTATGTTTATTCTTATTTGCTTTATTTAGAAAACGTTCCGTTCTTGAATGCATCCAACAGAAATTCGCTTTTAGTATATTTCCGAGAACGAATTAAGTAAAAATAAAAAGTCCAACCAACTGGAATTTTCAACATTCTTCGGCGGCACTGAAGGACATCAGTCACACGACTGAAGTAGCAACTCTACGCATGGGGCAAGCTGATCTGTAACAGCCAGGGGCCCAAACGTAGTAGTCCTCCTACGTTTCTTTAGGCACCCGGGGAGGGCTTTTACACGCTCTAGAGCCGCTGCTGGCTCGGCCGCTCGCAGCAGCCCCCCAGACGAGTGAATGTTTAGCCTTCAGCCTCTCACGACGGCGTAAACCTATCCCACTTCGGAGGAAAGAAGTCGAGAAGGGACGGGATGCTGATGAAGCAAGACGACTGCCAGGCCGCACTCCCCCGCCTGTTCGACTGGCCGGCCGCTGGAAAGTTTCCAAGAACGGCCCGTGGCATTCCTAAGACTGGAGACCCACCCTTACGATCAAAATGCTGCGATTCAGTCTCCTTAAACATGGAAACTGCATTTTGAACAAGTAGATTTATATTAGGCTTATTTTCTCTTTTCGTTCCTGGGAAAGATCCATGAAACCGATTGATATCAAGCCGCTTTGCATCACATTATCGCTACGACACACAGATGGTAACACAGCTAGGAAATAATTCACCATACATCATATTTGAAAGTAGCGTTTTGAGGAGAATGGAATTCATTTTACAACGTCCTTATTACATCCGAAACCATACAAATTGTTTTCCAAAAGCTAGCACGAACACCACTGAACAAGTAAAGAACTGCCGCAATAGGAAAAAACAAATATATAACGGCAGGTGGCCTCTTCCTTGGAGCCTTGCGATCGTATGGCAGCTATCATGAGCAATGACGCATTGAATTGAAGTCATTCGGTACCAGGTGTATGAGAATACGCGAAATAACCACCAAATATTTGTATTTTTCATTCAAAATCGAAACTGTTTCTTTGTATGTGGATTATCTCCTGGATATGTAACGAAATCAGACGCCTGTCACATGCCCGAAGGTTGCACAGTTTCCCTTCCGTTTCTGCGTGCATGGGCAAATAGTAATTAGATATTTTTGTTAAATTACTCAAAAGAACGGATGATATATGAAAAACTATTTCACTTTCTTATTAGGGTTACTAAAATGCTGATACAGCTGCTATCTTAAAACTGGAAACGACCGGTCGCGACAACTATTACGAAAAAAGAAAATTAAGGCATATATCGCACATTTTATCCTACATTTCTTGCTGTCCAGTTCCTTTTTTTAACAGAAGAAGGAATAGAATAGTGTAATTCCCTGGGCATCTGAACCACAATCTGACGAATCAAACCATCTCAACATACAATGGAGTGCTCAATTATAAGCATTCAAACTTTCGGCTGCAATGCATCTTATAGGTTAAGCAAAAGAAGTGCCGATTACGTAGACGCGTTCGCCCGCAGAACATATTCATTACCCTGACAATGCATTCACCGTGCCAACGTTCTTCTGGGACGATCGATATGTGCTCCCTTCCCCCTGACTGCTTAGTGCGGGGAATCCCCGGACGTCCCCTCCGCAAGCCCTATGACAACAGCGTACGCCTTCCGCGCCTACGGTGCGCTTCCTCTTCGTCCTCGGTCTGGCTGCCCCTACGAGGTGCTACCACATCCCACGCTGTACTTCGATGTATTTACCGAGTCCGTTGGCGTTTAATCAGTTGTTACGGGGTCATCCAATCGGGAGATTAAACGTCATCAAAGTAGGTGTCATCCAAGCTCTCGATTTGATGACACACAGATGGTACAACAGCCGAATCTGCGGGCTGTGTTGGAATCGAAGTACAGCTGGTCCGCAGGGCGGAAGCTCGCTTCGCTCTACGTATTATCAATCGTTACCGGGCGCATCGAAAAATTGACAGAATCAATGCAAGGAGACGATAACTCGATTCTTGCGCATTAGTGCTCGTGTTAATATTTTCATGTTGATTGAGTTAATCAGGAATGTTAGAGGGCTATTTCCGATCACATTGGAATAATCAGTAGAGTTTTAACATAGTGTGTTAATTCATTACGTGTGCATTTCATTTCATAACACGATCCAACATTTCAACTCCATCAAATCTGATCTGTCCCCTTCTTACGGTAAGGCAATCGATCTCACTTCTTCGATTCGAAAGCTGAGATCAGGGAAATTGTATTTGTTTTTGAGAACAGCAGAGTCAACACTCACATCATCCTTACGCTGAACATGCTGTCCTGATTGTGCAAGCTGTTTGTGGTTCCTTGAAGCTGCTTCAAATCTCCAGCGAACGCCCCCCGCAGGAAAAAATTGGACAGCACCTTGTATCATCTTTCGCCTCCATCTCCTAACTCCAGAAAACTCTTTCATACGGTAAGAAATTTCGACAACAGATGCCGGTGTGTTACTGTAGCATAACTCCTAATTCCAATAGTTACATTTCCAAAAACACCATTGCGTTACTTTTCTTTGAGTATGTGTT